AATAACTCCTTCAATCAAATCAATCCATTGGTTAGCAGCTGTCAAAAAGTGGCTAACTTTAGCTAATGTTTCTTCGTTTAGTAACGTTGCTGGTATTTAAAAGGACCAATGTTCTTTCATAAAAAAATATATCAGCGAAGTATATCACACTAAATACGCAACGCAATACAATAACACTACAGCATTACGACAGGAGGAGAGGGTGAAATAATTGAGATAGGGAGAAATGTCATTCAAGAAATTTAGCTGAGCTATTCTGTTTTCACGTTGCTGCATTATTAGTTTGATCTACGTACAAATAATCCTGACAGTCATACACAAAATGACTTTAATCACGTAGTTAACTTACGCTTTACTCTGCCATTTAGCTTCAGATAGACAGCAGAATTTAGTTAACAGCTAGCCGGACTAGCGTTAAAGCTAACGTTAAAACTGGCCAACTCAGCTTAGCAAGCAAAGTACTGTTAAGAAGCTAAACAGCTAACCTGTATTTCGTTGTTCAGCTTACCTGGCATACACAGAGTTTCCTGTCTTTAAATGCAGCACCTTGAGGTGTTCATGCAGACAAAAGATGTTCCTGTGTTGTTATTTTTTGGCTACCTAGATCGGAAGTCCTGTAGTCTTTTCCGTTTTTTGACAGGTCACTTCCGGTGGTCTGACATGCCAAAGATAAGAAGAAAAGTGGAAGTTAGCGCCCCTAGTGGCTGCTCCATTCTTTATTAATAAACTTTATTTTACTACTTCTTCTTAGCCCACTGCACATCTGGGATTACTTTCTCTTTACAAGGTCTTTATGGGAGTTTACCATATTCTTTATCTCAAGAACCTACGGTTGGGGTGTTGTTTCTTTTTTGAGCACACTGCCATCATTATTACAATTATACATGTAGAATAAATGTACAGGTAAAGATATTGGAATTCAAATATGGATAAGGACGATTGGGTGAAAAATGTGTGTAAAGCAAGACGGTTGGTGAGAGGTAAGGGTAAAAGCAACGTGAGAAGAAGCTGAATCAATATTACCGAAAGGTTTTAAACCAGCATTTGGATTACTAAATGAAAAAGTAAGTTAAATTTACAGAGTGATATACGTTAATGACAGAGAATGCATCATGTCAAATATTTAATTAATGTATAATAAATATTATATTATATATATTTAAATGTTTTGTTTTTATAAACAAATGTGAGGATTTGCTTCTTTCTGCGGCTGGTTGGGTGTGATCTCTGTCTCGTGCTGTGGCCCCTGAATGAATATGTTGACGTGTAATTAGCCTGAAGTCCAACCGCAGCCGACCAATCAGGTGGTGGAGGAGAGGCTGTGCCTGGACCGGCTGGCAGACTGTCCGGGCACAGTGCTGTGACTGCAGCTCAGCTCGTGGTGGTGAGCTCGTGGAGGTGACAGCACTAACGGGAACAGGTCCTGACTTCACCATCCCGTCGTGTTAGAGCAAGGTAGAATTGTTTTTGTAGCTTTCTGACTTACATGGACTTCTATTCTCACTCTTGGTGAAGTTGTTGTGTGTTTATTTCACCTCTTTCTATACTTTCGACTAGGATGTCTCAAAAGTGTTCAAGCCAGCGAGGACACAAACCTTGCTTCCGGTCGGGACTTTCAAAGTAATACTTTTAGCGACTAATATGGAAGGTAGAGAATTTCTAGTGAGTCTCTGGAGTTTTATTTTGAAGGCAACATGTATGATTTTCCGGTCAGTCCCTTAGCTAACTTTATGAGCCGCTGTTCCGGAGGTGGCACTGAAGGATTTAAGTCGATGTTCGGCGCACTATCATTGCCTGTGCTGACTGTATACTGGGTCTTGTACATTCCGTCAGCGTCATTCATTATGCCAGGACTATTTTATTGCAGTTTTGTTAAGAAAACGAAATAAGACAAGGAATCTTCACCCAAATAGTTTGGTCCCGGTGGAGGGTGTGGAGTCGATGTGTGACGAGTTACGTCATTCATAGTTTCCCTGTCCCGTCTGCTGCCTGCGCTGCAAAGTGCATCAACAAGTGACCGAAACTCATCTAATGCTAAAGCAATTAGTAGTGTAAATCAAACATGTATATTTCAATTGTTTCCAGTAAACCTTTATTCACCTTTCCTTCCTAGGCCCAGTGTGGAATGGCATACAGCCTATATTTCTGAATTCTTCAATCCAAGGCATATACTTTATAGAGAAAAGTAGATAGAATTACATAACAAACAAGGACGTCTTTACAAAAATAATACCAAATTGCTGACATAGCAACAATTTTAGAGGGCCACTATCGGTTAACCAACATTTTAAAACTATGTGTTGCAGTGGTAAAGTTGATGCTGCTTGTTGACGGTGTCTGCATATATTTTCACGAAGATCATATTAGCTCAGATTTATACTTTTTCTCAGAATTGTACAGTTTTTTTTAAACTCCTCTTTAGGAGTTTGGTTAGACTTGTGGACTGTAACAGGCTGTACACCACCAAGGGGAAATTAGTATCATCTTCAACCTAAAGCCCTTATGCAAAATGTCTCTACAGGGTTACAGTGATAGTTTGTGGCTTTGAAAAACGAGATAATTTCAGAGTGAGTTGAATCACCAATAAATACCTGCTTATTAGACAGAATAGGGGAATGGTAATTAAAAATAGATACATGCTTGTTTTGTGACTACGACTATACTGTAAATCAAAAAACAACTACAGCCTTGACTGTACATAAAAACAAACTATTTCCATCCAAAAACAATTCAAAAATTTTTTTTTTCAGATGGCTGACGTGGAGCTGGTGAAGAAGATGCTGCGGGCCGTCCTCCAGGCCAACAGAGGCGGCGTGTCGCTGTCCCGTCTGCAGTTAGAGTACAAAGAGCTGACTGGGGAGCAGATACCACACAAACAGATGGGACACAACCACCTGGATGCACTGCTAGCCAGCATGCCCTCTGTAGTCCGCACAGAGCGCAGCCGCTCTGGAGAGGTGTGTGTGAGGCCTGTGCAGGGTGGATGGTTTGAAGGATAGATGTGTACACATATTAAGCCATAATTAAACCATATTATTCTTTATATAAAATCATATATTTTAATACCACTATGTATTCAAAGTGTTGTGTGCGTAATTTGGATAATATCCACACCTGGTGGTTAATAGGAGGTAGCCTAATAACTTACTCCTCCTTGTCATGAATCTCTTATTAATATCCGTCTGTTTACTCCTCTCTCTCACTGCAGATGGTATGTTTTGCCTCAGGTGCCCATGAGACCGCCCACATAGCTAAGTTGGTGGCTCGCCAGCGCAGCTCCAAGAAGACAGGCCGACCCCACCTGGTCAACACCCAGATGAGGGTCAAACCGGCTGCCCCACTCGTCCTCAATGGTAAGATTTTGGACCACCATTTTGGGGAGTTAGCAAGCATAAACCGGCATAGCCGACCTTAACAACAATTATCAATTCTATATGTATGTATTGTTATTTTTATTGAACATTCCCTAGCATGTAAAGCTTTTGGCTAGTCACTCAGCCACTATCACTTTTGGTTTCACATAAAGTCCAAGTTAAGTCGATTCATGCAGGGTTTGAAATACATTACAAGTTGCGTTTGTGCACATGGGATTTCACAGTTTCTGTGTGGGAGACAGCAAGCAAATATATTAAATAGCGTAGGGAGAACCACAATTGGCCATGCAATGGCTTCACCATTACAGTGTTCAACAGGAAACTATAATGCAGTTTCACAAGACACAATTAGCTCGATCCAATTACATACATAGATGTTTACTACTAAGTCACAAGGTGGCTTAAAATCACTTAGGTATTGGATTAAATGTCATTGCAGTCACTGCTAAAATGTACGGAGGAAACATGCAACATCTGCATTATAGTGTGTATTTTAAAGCAAATTTGAAATGATTCCAAATACCAAATTCATAAATACTTTTAGTTGTACTTTTGGTTCTCAAAGAGATCGACAGCGTGCTGAAAAAGACTCAATCAGTAATCTGTAATTTTCATTTAACAGGTGAAAATAAATATGGACACAGATTAAACAAAATAATGATAATTAACAGTCTGGCAGCTCTGTGACACAGTGGTTAGCACTGGAGCACTTATAAGCTGCACTGCAAGAAAACCAGTGTTGGGTGTCTTGTGAGTGTTGGACTATTGTGGGTATCCAACTCTGGAATTCAACAATACATGTTTATGAAGGACTTGAATGTCAAATGTGAATGTAAGACTACTTGGCTGCACTATTCAAAACATGTTTGACTACATAGCAAAGAGCACTCTGGGTTCATATCATCACTGATATACAGTACATGTGGTGTGATGCAAAAAGCCTCATGGCTTCTTATTCCCAAGTCCTGTTATGATTGTGAATGTAGAAAAACACATGTATCATCTTCACCAGTAATATTTCAGCAAGGGTATTAAATACATTGTATAGTTAATGTTTTCGAAACATTTGTTTTTCCAACAAAAGCCTTTTTCCACTCTGCCAGGAATAAAATCATAAGATTATATATACGTATCAGGTATATACTATATACACTTTATATTTTATAAGATCAAAAACAAACCTATTCTGTTAATTATTTCCTCAAAATCAAACAAAGGGCTTTTTGAAATGTGCACTGACTGCACATCTTTGCTCAAAATAATTCCACCTGTTTGCATATTAATGATGACCAAGCAGTTTTGTTTATACTCTAACTAAACACGTTTACGCAACAAAATAAAGGACCGATGAACTAATTCAGTCTCGAAAAGCTGTGGCCGAGAAATATATATTAAATTCCAGCCAGCCTTTTCAATTGAACATTTCCAAACCTTTTCCAGACTCCTCTTGGTGCTGGTGCTACAGTGCTGCAGCAAGAGAAACATAGAAAGTGTCTAGTGTTTGTATTAGTACTGTAACAATGCAACTTTTTTGAGCCCAGTTTTTGGATGACTGACTGACCTGTTTTAACTGTTGCTCTGTGGAGACCTGCAGTTCCTTAGGCACTAAGACTATCACACATACACACTCAAGCAGACACACAATGTTACGGGCTGCACAGGTGTATCAGGTTCATATGTGTACAAAGATGTCACATCACATGCATTTTACTGGAGAGCCACACACAACTGTGAACATTCATTCATATTTTTCTGACTTTATTTCCTATTAACACACTCATGAACCATAATTGCACGTATGCAAACTAAATATGCAATCTCACGGCCCCCTTCACATACACACACACACATACACACCCACATACACACACACACATACAGAACCGTGTACGCACTTGTCTTTTTAGCGCATACTCCTCCGCTAGACTGTGGTGCTGCAGAGAGCCAGAGGAGGAAGTGGGAGAAGAGCGGAGGAGTGGCAGCAAGCCTGTCGGAGGAAAAGAAAAGAAGAGGGATGGTGAAATGGGAAGGAAATGGACAGATGACGGGGGAAGGGGGTGTCAGAGAGAGAGAGTTGGGCTGCGTGTTCAGATTCAAGGCTAATGTAGCCTATAGCCGCTGAGACTCCGCTGCAAGCAAAGAGCAGCCGATTCACAAATCAACCTCTTCATCTCTCATTCTCTCCTCCTCCTCCTCACCAGGATATTGATATTCAGGCAGGGGCAGACTAGGGACCTTGTGTCCATGCTGGTGAGGTGACGCAGCGTCTGCTTGTGTGTGTGATTGTCCTTGGCTATATCTGCATGTGGATTTAAGCTTGCGTCTGCCTGCGTATGTGAATGCTGAGTTTCTGTTATTGGTTTGTGTGTGGAAGTTTTATTGATTCATTAATTGGCCGATTGATTGATTGATTAACTGCTAGTAGCTCATAGAGAGAAGAATTAAGATTTTGAAATTGCCTGTTGATGACTTTTGAAGACGATGGCTGGTGAAGCTGCTTGTTGTGTTCTTTCACTGGAAAGATTTAATGAGATTCAGCAAGAACAGAAAGGATCGGAAAGCAGGAGGAAGTTCTAGGTCTCGCTGAGGAAAAGAGAGGTGAAGAAACGAGTTGAGATAAAAGAAGAGACGGCATGAGGAAGATCTGAAAGGGAAGAGGGAGTGTGGGAGTGGGAGTGACTCAGGGTTGTGCTCAACAGGGTATATTGGTGATGTCACTTAGCGGAAATGTGATGTCATACCGATCACGATGCGCTTGAATGATGTCGCATCTCAGTGATGAGGGAGTGTGTTAGGATATTTGGTCTCTGACTTTTGGCCTTTTTACTGAGCATACAGTGACCATCACAGATGACAGTAACTGGCTTTTGTAACCATGTAAGAATAACAATAAAAGAATAATGTAATTTTCTCCCCTGGTAGTGATGTTACCAGTCTTAAACTGAGGAGATAACTGTTAAGTTAAGTTTTCAACAAACAAAAATGTATATAGGGAGTTAGTATACAGCATGTATATTGTACATACTGTATACAAAATAATATGTTATATTATATTGTTTGCTCTTTTCCAGAAGAGCCCCACTTATGTTTACACACATACTTTCATTCACCTAATATTCCTAGTGTAATCACAGTCTCCTGAATTGCTGTATGTTTTTAATTGTTCAATAGGGGAAACAAACGTATTCACATTTTTGTGGAGAGTTCGATGAGCAGATCAATACCATGTCTGTGCTTGGTAATGGTATCAATCTTCTCATCTAACTCTCAAATCAAACCGGTGTATCTCCTTGACATTTGCCGGCCTTTTATTACACTATCCAATTGGGAAATAAAACAACAACAAATCCAAGAATGTAGGCACAAAGGATATTGTGTTGTTGATGCTTGCTGGCTCACTGATTAGAGCTATTATGTTACTCTAGTTCTACTGTGTCTACAGATATTGAAGCAATCTATAACACTGTGCCCTTCAGACAGACACACTGCCCTGTCTCAGCATCAGGTTTTGCTGAGTCAGGGCATGTGTGTGTGTGTGTGTGTGTGTGTGTGCGTGTGCGTGTGCGCGTGTGTGCGTTTAAGTCCATAGTTTTACTTCTCTTTCGCTTTCTCTTTCTTTATGCAGCCAAACCTCAAACCTCCCTGAGGCAGCCGAACCACCGCGGGCGAGGCGGGGGTAGAGGAGGAGGAGGAGGAGGTGGCAGCCGAGGGGGGGGACATGGAGACTTCAGACAGGCCAGGGACATGAGGGATGGCCAGTCAGAGGGCAAGACCGGGGCGCATCCGAACAAGATGTATCAGAACACACCCAACAGGAAAGGGAACCCACCTGCCGAGAAGTAAGCAGTTGGACACAGTTACTTCACTTCAAATAGGTTAATGAATTGAGATAATTCTATGTGATAATTTTTTTTTTGGTACATAAATACAATCTTTTTTTCCTGTAGATTCTCTCTCTGTGATGCAGCATGCTTTCAAAATCCTTTAAACCGTCTTAGACCCATTAAAAAGTATCTTTGGGGGATTGAATTACTTATCTTTAACCAGTTTCTTATATTTTCTCATCACTCCAACATCCAATCCAAACTTCAGCTACAAGTCAATGAAAATCAATCGTACATGTCCCACATTCTTTCTTTATGTCTTTCCCTTTCTCTCTCTCTCTCGCTCTCGCTCTCTCTCTCTCTCTCACTCTCTCGCTCTCTCTCTCTCTCTCTCTCTCTCTCTCTCTCTCTCTCTCTCTCTCTCTCT